CCCTGCAGATTCATCTTCGCGCTGAAGGTGAGAGTTGGACGGCCTGGGGCCAAACTGAAGTGCTTCTGCGTGAGGGAGCTCGGAATCATAGGATATGTACGCTCTGGGGCATACATCGTCTGGAGGCGGGAAGCGGCGTACTGCATAATCTTTCCTTCAGAATCAAGGAATGCAGTAGGGTTGGCCACATGTACACGGATCCAGAATGTATCGTCTGATCCCGGTATGCGCTCGAGAGACACACCGTCGTCAATCTCCTGGGCAGTAGCATCATCCACACAATAAACCGGTAGGTCCCCCCAGTCAATACGCACATCTTTCATCTTATCAGGAAGCTCCTGTGAGTTAAGCTTCTCGCACTCTTGTTGGACTTCCTCCCACGCCGCATCCGAGCTGGGAGAAATGCCGTGGCCGGGAAGGGCTAGACCTTGGTCGAACAAGCGAATATTCTCCCACGGGTAGAAAACACCCAGTTCTTGTAGGAAAAGAGTTGCCGTCATGGGATTCAGTTCCACAGCGCCATACATGCCTGTACTACGCATTATATGCGAACCGGCCGAGCGCATGGTCCCAGACGTCATTCTGCGCGGCGGAAGACACCACAGCTGTAAGTATTCGATGATCATACGATCGGTGTCACTGAACTTTTCTGTAACCATTTCACGATAGAGCATATGTTTGCCATCCTGGTCTGGAGTGAATCGATGAGCACTTGGACCGACGCAAGCCATGGTAGTTGGCGCGCGCGCGGTTCGGCTACGCTTGATGAGACGCTGGGCCTTCTGGACGAATTTTTGCAGAGGATGGTCCTTCAAGTTGGGAAGCCCCTTACCATTTACATTCTGGTAAAGGTGATCTTGGTGCTCGTGAGCCCAGGTGGTGACCGTGTCCAAGACTCTAGCGATTCGTCTCGGTTTGACTAGGTAATGGTTGGCAAACAGAGAGCTCCGATCATACTCGATGAAGAAAGCATTGGCGTGAGCGACGCGATGGACGAGGAACAAGAGCACATCGTTCAGCTGATCTTTTTCAATATCAAGCGCCTTGCAGGTCAGCTCCTCCAACGTATATTCACGGTAATTTTCCTCATCGGCCACAATGTCATGAATGCTGTCCAACCGGGCTGCATTCGCACGGTACAGCTCCTGCGCGTCTTGGTCGAAGGTGTACATTTTCTTGAGAAGATCCGCACCAACATTTCTCGGGACTCCACCTTCGGTCACAGATTGGAACTCTGTCTTCATCTGAGCGGCAGCGCCAGGAACGTGCGGGAGCAGGGGCGCAACCATTTCTGGAGGCACAAACCCCTTGACGACATAGTCAAGATCCTTGGCAAAAGCAATCCGCCATTTTCCTCTGTCCGTATAGAATTGTTGCTGTTTATGAATGGAGCGGATGTAGATGGCAAATGTCAGGATACCGTCGACGCTGTTCCGCAAAAGTTAGCGGCCATGATACTGCACAGCAGAACAAGTCGATTGCACTTACGCAGTCATTGCCACCAAATCACCCGGCTCCAAGTATTGATTCAAGCCCTCTCCTTCGTCGGCCGAGTTTGTGAATTCTAAGGAATCATCTGCCGCTCGTAGAGCATCGCTTCCGGCATCGCGAGCCTCACGGTTGTCGTTAAGCATGTTTCCCACCCAGGGTGCCGATGCGTCCAGGGAGTTTGAAGTCCCTGGGCCTCGAACAGGGTCCAGGTCGTTGGAATGGGACTGTTGCCATTTTCGCAGATAGGTCCGGATGTCCTTGTGCTCGTCAAACTCGAGCTTGAGACGGAGGTTAAGCACCTCAGTTGACGAGTTTAGTAGGTCTTGATCGAGATACTAAGGAGCATAATGGTAAGCCGCAAAATTCGACAATTTGTAAAGGTTTCATACCTTTGAGCCTGCGCTGAAGCATCTCCGTGATACAATTTGCGAGTAGTCTGAGAGATTGCTCTGGCGAAGGAGAGGTGGCGCGCGCGAGGCAGCTCCGCAGAGTCTCGGCGTGAGCGCGTAATTCACACCAGCCGCCCTCTGTAATACTCTCGTCTTTGGGAGTAACAAAGGCATTCTGGACCACCCATCATACATGCCCACAACCTAGAGCTCAATTCCTTGATGGAGCAAGAGGCGTGGAAGCAGCTGCGGCGAATCTCCGCGGCTGTAAAATCTACATACTGCCGGCAGTTGCCACTTACCGCTGGGGCGGTGAATATGAGTACCTGACACTTCTCCGAATCCCGAACTTTCCCCGAACTATGCAATTGTTGAATTGGCTGTGCAAGTTCTATTGCCCTTATGGAGGATGGAATGGCGTCGATAGTAAATGTTTTTGCGAGAAAGGCAATGCTCCACTATTTTTTGAGTGATATTAGCACCTTGTCTACTAGATGATGAGTCGGACTGTTTACCAACAACTGAAAGGTACGAAGTGCTACAAAACCTGATGCGTAAGTGATTGAGTAATGACCATTTGCACTTAGCACCGGATTGGAAACTATTCTTGGTTGTATGTGATTAATTGACTGATCCGAATGTCAGTGGCCTCTAGTCAGTTATGGTTGACAGATCTTCTTGAAGCACTTGATGATCACAATATATTTACTACGCTCATATTACTCGTACATGGATGGGTTTTCGCCTAGTCGATGAACTCCAGCTCGACGTCACTGAAATCGCCAGTCTACCCTGAGCTTCAAGTCTTCGTTGAGCAGCATACCGCCGTACCAGGATGATGCAAGCTATTGTGGCTCCACCCGCAACTACAAAAATATGCTCCATGCCAAAAAACACAAATTAAAGCAGTGAGAGAAGTCGGGCTCTGAGAATATAATGGAACCGCATGAAGCGAGTCGAAGCGTAGACACTGTGTGTTCTGGTCGTGGACGCTCACGGATGTGATCTTGATGAGAATTCGGCATCCTCATCTCATTAAAGGATAGTATAAAGACCCTTGCGTATCAATGACCACATTATCAGGGAGCAGATACTATCCAATTACAAACCTTCGTGCTGTTTGCATGCTAGAATTTACTGGTATTGCCATAATTGGGTGAGATGATAGATACGAATCCCTGCAAGCCCCTAAAGGAATCTGGGACTCTTGGAGCACTATTAAAATGAAGCGGCTATTGCGTGGACGGCCAAGAGCTGTCCTGCTAGATATTAGGGCTCGTCATATATGAGACTACCATTGCATCAAGCGTCGATCCTGCCTGGTATGCGGCCTTTCTGCATTAGTATATGGACATACTAGCTCTGCGCAGCTCAACAACTTGTCTATTCGACGACAAGCAATATGCGCATATCGAAGCATTGACCAATGATGCACATACAACAATCCTCCTAGAGTGAGGCCTTTCCCCAATCAACCGTTGGCGCGGGACAATATGAAGAGCCACTATCAACATTGGCACGTCACCAAAGCAGTGAGTTGTGCCCTCGGTATGATTGGATCGTATCTTTCCGATGCTCGCAGTGACCAGTAGCATAAACAAGGCGAGAGGCGCAGTCAATAGTGGCCTGACTACGACTATGGAATCAGCTAATGCAGGCATGGCGCAGGATCAGTCCAGCTTCTCAAGGAGCTCGCAACATGACCACTTTGGGGCTACGTCTCGCTCGAGCTCTACTTGGACGAGCTCTACAAGACAACAAGCTCAGGCAGCATCAATAACTCATCTACTAAAGCATCCAGCGACTTTATCAGCGATGGTATACTACTTCAAGCTACCAGTTCTGTACACGAACGTATCTACCTACACGCAGACCCACCAAAACACCCACGCACAACAAAACAACCCACAAGACATATCCAAACGCCGACAATATTAGCATCTCGAGCACCTCCCCAGAAACGGGAAAGTAGCAGCAGATCCCACTACAAGACCATCTCAAGGAATATTGCAGCTCCCTCTCAGCCAATACCTATCACCCCAACATCCCGCCTACAAACCTTCACTGCAGGTACGGGACATACCCTGAATCAATGCGCTTCTCCACGAAACGATCCCAATCAATCTACCCGCATATCCTTAATATAGAAAACGCCACAGACGACAATCCCGAGAAGCTGGACGGCGACAGCGCGATCTGCATTGCAGGCGCCTCCATCCCATTCCCCTCCAAGTACGGCGTACTGACCCTCTGATAGTAATAGTAATAGACGGAATGAGGCTGAGCAAGTCCCTCTCCCCACTGCAATCAAATCCCAATAATACCCTCCGCGCCAATCATCCACACGGCAGCCGTCTCAGGTTCAATTAAGCTCTCGTGGGTCGTTGGCCAGGAACGTTCCCGCTATGGCATCTCCAAGCGCCGGTGTGGAGTAGACCCATCCCGGTGCAGCCCTAGCTCTTTACCGCGCACTTACCTGAGCTCAATTTTTGATAGCTAGCTATGTATGAAGTAAGCGCTCGCTTCACCTTCTCCAAACAAAGCGCTCCTTAAACAGGTCTGGACAAGACTCTACTGTCCCGTCGGCGCTTCATCACGCAATGAGAGCTCAGCAACCAAGATTCGATGGATCCTCATCGGTCGGATCTAGAACACGGCACGAGTGTAGCTAAATTTGTCTGGGCCTGGAACTTGAGATTCTGTGCCGTGTAGTCTCGCCTAGCTTCATGGTCTGAATAGGTGCTTGGAGAAAGGGATATTTAAAGAGGTTGGTTGTCGTCGTAGATTTGCTTTGTCTACACTCAAGTCAAACAGCGAAAACTCACGGTCTCTCTCAGTCTCTTTGCCATTGTCTTATACATTCCTTTGATTTGGGATTGTTGTGCTACTACACTCCTTTGTATCATTGTTTGATCTCAATTGTTGTGTTTGCATACGTATTAACCACGGCCATTTGGCTAGCGGTCCTTTTCGTGTGATTGGGATTCTACAGAACACACTCTCTCTTCTCTTACAATTTGTTCTCTCACGCAAAGTGCGGCATCAAGCCATCCATCCTATAATACACTCATCTATTCGCCCAAGCAGATACAACTACCACCAGGAAGGAAATTCAAAGAAATGGCACCCCACGGACTCCTCGGCGCAACCTTCGTCTGCGCGCGCATCATCCAGCTCTGCTCACTCATCGCCATAATCGGACTAACAGCGAACTTCATCGCCGAGATTGTCTCCAACGGCGCCACGCCCCCAGCCATCTTCATCGGGACAATCACAGTGGTACGTCCTTTCTCCCAACTTTCTACCCACGCAACATCCACCCCTCTAACCACCCTTGAATGGAAACCAGACCAGCATCGCAGTAATATACAGCTTCATCACAACGATCCTCTTCCTCGACAATATCCTACACTTCCTAATCGCAGCCATCCTCGACACCCTCCTCCTCATCGCCGTGATCGTGGTATCAGTCATCATCGGAAAGCCACTCTCCTATCTGCAATGCAACAAGCTCAGCAGCGACGGGTCAAGCGGATCGTCGGCGTATACGTTCGCCACGCATCTGAGCAGCTATTTGGAGGATCTGAGTGGCGGGACGGTGAACTATACGGCGTGGATTGGGGCGAGTAAGTCGGTGTGTTTGGAGGCGAAGTCGATTTGGGGGTTGTGTATTGCTATGTGGTGAGTAACCTCCCCCCGGTGTGGTTTAGTCGGTTGGATCATGCTAATGAGGATGTATGTGCGCAGTATCATGTTCTTCTTCTCAGGCGTTTGCGGACTCGTGCTTTGGAGACAGAAGAAGGCGGCGGGTGTGGAGAAGTTGGAGGGTTAGATGATGATGACGATGGCGCTGATAATGCTAATGTTGATGTTGATGTTGATGTTGACGGTGGTGACAAACAACCCCATCCCCTAATTTATCCCCTTGCATTCTGTCCCTTCATTGATCTCTTTCCTATGTCTCCTTCCCACTTCAATCATATACATCCAAGCAAATCCACCCTAATACTCCAGACTTCCCACCCCCACCAGCCAGCGCATGTACCTATACCTATACCAAACAATAATCAGCCAAAACAGACACACAAAATCAATACCCCACAAACTACCTACCTACCTACCCAAGTAACCAATATCACTCATTCCAATAGGAGTAGACCGTTGTTCACCCCGAACTAACCGGCGGAATCACCGCAACCTCATCCCCAGGCTTAATAACCACCACCTCCCCATCCCCCTCCCCATCCACATCCACATACTCATCCCCCAAACTCACCCCACAACTACTCAACACCTTCTCCTTGATCCCCGGGTACATGGACTCAAGGGTATCAAAGAGTCTCGGTAGCGGTAAGGGAGCGGGGAGACGTTCGGATTGTTTGCCAGTGTAGGTGGATGCGGAGGCGAAGTAGTGGATTTGGAATGTTGGTATTTCTTTCGAGGACATATTTAGGGCTTGGGGACTTATTACTTCTCGTAGTAGGTTGTGATATTAGGATATTAGTAGGGGGTTGATGATTATTGTTTGTTGGGAGGTGGGATTGAGGAGGGGAGGGGAGAAAGATACTAGGGAGAAAACAAAGGCGGGCGTGCGGGGTTTGCTGATAAGGATGTGGTTGATAAGAGTGGCGGTGGGATTGGCCAGTTGGTAGTAGGTACGGAGTAGATTCTTTTGAACCAGGCAAGCAGTACTACGAGGAGATCAAGAGTTTACTAATGTTAACATCATATGAGTGCCAAGTCATATCTATGAGATCGTTCAATTCAGTCATTATTTACCCTCGACTAATTCCTTGAACGCGGTCACCAGATCCTGCCGGAGATCCTCCCAGTTCTCCAACCCGACACTGATGCGCAGCAACCGGCGATCCACAGTCGCGTCCGACATTGTCCGCCATTCGATCAACGTTTCCACTCCTCCGAGACTGGTGGCATGCTGGAAGAACGCCAGCTTGCTCGGGAGCTTCCGGGCAAAATCCTCCGTCTTCATGGTGATCGAGAAAACCGGTCCGAACCCATTGGGCATCTGCTTCAACAGCCAAGACTCGTCCTCTTTCTGCAAGCTGGCGTGGAATACCTGCTCGAGGGCACGCTGAACCACAGCTTCGTCGCTATCCGGAGCAAGACTGGGCGCACGCAGTGCATCGTTTAGCCAGGATACAAGGCTGGCTGCGTTCTGGCTCTGGCGCTGCACTCGGACTTCCAGAGTCCGCAAGCTGCGAACGCCTAACCAACTCTCCATATTTCCCATCACACTGCCCAAGAAGACCCGGTCCTCAAGCAGCTGTTTCGCCCAATCCTCACGCTGTGTAGCAAGAACTCCGCAAAGAACATCGCTGTGTCCGCCAAAATACTTCGACCCCGAATGCATCACCAAATCGGCACCCCATTCGAAAGGGTCTTGGAGGAAGGGCGGGGCGAATGTGCCATCAACAATGAGGTACGCGCCACGAGAATGAGCCTTTTGAGCATACGCTTCGATATTGAAGGCGGTTCCTTCGGGATTGACCGGTGTTTCCAGATGAATCACATCGCCAGCCTCCAATTGCTCGGCAGGGCAATCAAGATCTAGCTTCTGAAGTCCAGTGAGGCGACCGAACAGAGAAATCACGCCATGGCATCCGTGATAACCGTTTCCAATGGCGATTCGGCGGGGTTTGAGCAGGACTAGCGCCGCGTGCAAAGCTGACAACCCCGAGGAGTAGCTAATGGCCTTTCCATTGAGGAGCGAAGACAAAATGGCTTCGAACCGAGTATAATTAGGGGCAGTCAGCCGGGAATAGATGTGAGCATTGTTGTCCTTCTGATCCTAGACACGGAAGCACAGTTAGCATTGAGCTCGGAGTGCATTCGGGGAGTAAGACACCTACCCCACTGCGGTCGGCCCAGGGCACTAAGTCATCGGGGTTGTCGGAGTAGCGGAAAGTAGTGGCCACGTGAATTGGCGGAGCTACATCCGTGACGACATTCAGGGCATCGTCGACATGAAGAGCGCGCGTGGAGGCGCCCATTTCTCGATTAGCGGGAGCCATGGTGATGATGAGAGAAGATGAGAAAAAGAAACGTCAGGCCGCGCGGACGCAGTCGGGAATGCAGGCCATTCGCCATTCGGAGATTTGCTGTCGTGACTCAGGAAGAGTGGGGAAAGGGAGCCGAAGAGGGGGAGGCTGCTCCGCATCGGATAGCCGGCACGTGACGCGTGGGCCGACTGGTGGGCGAGGTGATGATGGATGGATGGATGAGTGCACAAGTAGGAAATGGATACTGCAAAACAGTGACAGTCGGACTTAGCTTAAGCCTAACGACGCAGAGAGCTCATCCTCGACGGCTCACGGACTGATCCCGGCACAGCCGCATGGAAATTCGTCCGATCTATAGAATATCAGTATCAACACCAGACATGCGCAATAGCAAGGGACCACTCGGCATACCTGCTTCAGAGTCAAAGGCAATTGAAATGTCATCGTGCTCCATTGGGTAATCCGGAGAGTCCAGAGATACAAAGTCCGATGCCGGGTCATCTTCAGTCTTCGGCAGAGCAAATTTGGCATCCACAATCCGAACCCCAAACTTGCCAGCTTTCCCGAAGCTCTCCAGGGTGTCGGTGCCTTTGAGAACGAAGTTCATGCACTTTCCATGGTGGAAGTCACTGAAGAAGACTACCAGCTGCACAATTCTGTCGCGCTTGATCACTTGGATTCGAGCCAGGCTGGATTCCCACTTCTTAGTGATCGGGACAACCATCCGGCGGCGTGAGATGGCGAACGAGGTAGCCACACTACATTCCCAGTATTAGTTATGGCCTCTTTCAACAGATCTGACTTCTGCATACCTGTCAAAAAGCACCTGGTAGCCCGTCACAGCTCGTTCGAACATATGAAGATCTGAAAGGCATATCAGTAAAGTCTTTTCAGGCCGATGTAAAGAGCAGTGTATATTACCTTGTACAGATGCAAAGTCGAATCGTCGAATCATTGGTTTAGCCATGGCGATTTTCAGAAATTCTGTTATCTTATCTGGCATCTCTGGTAGTACTAGATTCTCCGCGACGGACACAGTCCAGTCCTTCTGCCCAGGTCGGTACAGGCTGAGCCCCGTCCGGTTGTTGACATCGAGTCCCAGTTTCAGCTCACCGGGCCCTATGATTCCGTTAGCGAAGTTCTCAATAGTGATCTGGAAAGCATACCGAGATTGATCCGATCCGTGACCGATCCCCATTCAGTTGCGATGAAAGCACGCAGATTCTCGGATAGCACCGTCGGACCGTACCCATGCTCAACATGTGTGTGCTCACGGTCAATGATCGAGACTGTACCGGCAGGAAATTGAATATGATCCTTTGCTGGCTGCCCAGTATTACGGTCGGCAGGCTGTTGGATGGTGTATGCACGGATAGGAATCTCAGGTGATTTAATCTCGTTTCCCTTAGGCTGGATACCCAGAAGCAAGGAATGCATGTTTGTGCGATCCTCCGATTCATAGAATGTCATCACCATGGATCGGGTCCTTCCTTCCTCCTTGACCTTGAGTAGAAGGGCTGGTGCTCCATCCTCACCTCGGAGCAGACCGAAAACAACTGGTGCGCCGGACCCAATGGTATGACGCACACTGCTAAGAGTCTTAACCTTTGGGCTTGTGAGTACCGCAAGACGAAACCCTTGATGCACAATTCTACTGCCAGTGCCCTCAGTCAGAGTGATGGTCTTTTCGAACAGTCGAAGCCGACACCGCTCAATGGGATCGGCTGGGAAGGCTTTTGGCGTTCCAGGGTCCATATACTGGAATGACTTGAGGGTGTTTTCGAAAATTACTGTTTCACCCGACTCAGCCTGCAGGCTTGCTTCGGTCTTGCGGGTGTACTGGACAATGTTCCAGATATTCTTGAAATCATCCTCCTGAAACGCGACCTCCAACACAAACCCACGTGGCAGCTTCACCCTTATCGAATGTGACCGGACTAGCCAGTCCACGCTGTCCCATGTAGGGCCCTTTTTCTTGTCCGACTGGATCATAACATTGACAAGTTCATTCTGGCTGGTTATCGCGGCAAAGACATACCAGTCAGCACGATCACGTATTATGGACAATGCGCATGGCATGGACAGTTTCGGCATGTCATCTTCATTCGAGCTGACGAGAACATTCACAAACATGGTGCCGTAGCTAAAATAGCGACTAGTATCACTGAGTGGCATTGTTTGCACAAAGGAAGGCCCCTTTCCTGCCGTGTCCGCCAGCAGCGAGCTTGTTACTGTACCTGAGAGGACCGCAGCCACGTCCAGAGCGAAAGATGGATATCGCATCCAAACATTAGTGTCAACTGGTATGGCGGAATCGCCCTGGGATGCAATAGCCACAAGGATGTTGTTCCGCTTGATAGACATGGCTAATGAGCGAGAATGGTTCATGATCGCCTGGTGTAGGGTAAGGAGATCGGCCAACTGGGCGTTCCCGGTCGTGTTGGCTACTGCAATCACAGCATCAATACTCCTTGCGCCATAGCGGGTCACCTCATCATGTTGTGGGACGACATATTCATTGATCCATAAGGCCTTAGCAAGATCCACGATGGCTTGCTTCGCGCTTTCTGTAGAGCTGAGAAGGGGTGATCGTGTGCCAGAGCTGGAGGGGCGTGACCGTGCATAAACCTCTAGACGTTTCTTTCCCCGCAGAAACCACCACACTTCAGCTCTCACCCATTCAGACAGAGAGGTGTCCTGTATGGGCCTCGCTTCTTCCGCAGAGGCTTGGATTAAGCCTCTAAACTGAGCCATGTACGCTTTCAGATCAGTGAAAGCCGTGTCACCCAGTTGATTAGCAACGGACCGCAAT